AATTCCATGGAAAACATAGGCTATCAAACACCAAGAAATGGGTGGAAAATGGAATTTGAATTTGGCCCTATCAAACATGGCCTAAGAATAAAAGCATTGGAAATAACAGGGAGATGGAGAAGAGGGAAGCATTGGCACTGGGGGCAATTGTGTTGGCTGCACAAGGGATTTCTTTCAATAATAGTGAATTTTCCTAGAGTGGGGATGTGGGATTCTGTGTTGAGTGCAAACAAGGAGGAGGATTCGCTGCACATATTCAAGACTTTGTCATGCAGGTTAAGATGGCAGTGGAGACTGAGCTTTGCTCAAAAATGAATTGATTTCAGGGAACTATCTCCGCCACTGTTTCTCCTCACAGTGGCATGTGGGTCGCCTCTCCCTGGCATGTGCTTCAGGATATGTGTGCATCAGTGTGTTCGTCGATTTTTGTTATGGTTGGAGTTCTATGGAGTGGTGATAAGGTTATAGTACTGAGATGGATAAAATTTCTCTATTTTTATGATCTGGATACTTATAGAATTATGTGATAATAAGAGTTGATTCAATGATTGTTCTTGGTCTATAATTTAATGAGTACATTTGTGATATGTCAGTGCACATGAAGTAGCAAGAATATATTTGGTGTTAAGTCTATTTCCAGCGTATGAATATCTCAGAGTCTTGAAGGAAATTTCTTTCTCTTAACTATGATGAAAAAATTTCTATTTTATTCATATGGTTAAAATATATACCTATTACCCATGTCAATAATCTATATTGAGAATATAAAAAAATTGATTTAACTTTATTGGAGAGAATTGTTAAACATATTAGGTATATCGATCATCATCTCATTCAAGTATTGTCAATAACAAGAATTGAGGTTAAAGTGGAAAAAAGAGTTTTTCTACAAAGCTTGTCAAGTTTTTTTTTTTTTTTTTAATTATTTTTTTTTTTAACTTGCTTATTCAGATAATTTAGAAACTGTTAGTCAAAAAATGATTTTGTTTATGTGTTCGAATAAATCTGGTCTTAATTGAATCGGCGCAAAATACGTAATCCTAGTAGGACTGATACTTTATTGACTTTTTTATTAGTCTTACCTATCATATACTTGAGGTATTTTAGCGAGCAATTAGTAACAAAAAAGGATAATCGAGGAAAAAATTCTTAATATAAAGCATAAAGCTATGTTCTCAAGGAGTTCTCACTATAAAGCATTGAATTAGAAGCTTCATTTTTCCTGAACATCTCATAGACTAAAAAAAAGGTTGAACCACAACCTTAAAGGTCTCCCATCGCCCTGCCCTTGGAGTATCATGAGAGAAGTTAATCGCGGGATGTGCCCCAGTAGGTTAGGGAACAAGAGCTGCATGTACACTGATGCCCACAAAGAATCTCAATCTATGTTTCGAGAATCGAACCCTCACACTGTAGTTGTCAGCAAGTTTGAGTATACCTCACTTTTGCTCTTTACACCATTGGAATATGTCCCGAGGGGCATCTCATAGACTAATTTTTCAGGAAAGTGCCTTATGAGTATTCCCAAGTCTTCTTGTCATGGCCCGTCCAATAATTAATATGAGGAAATTAGTTACATAAAAATCACATCGTTAGAACTCATCCTCAATATCAACGTGTAAGGAGAGGAGTGTCCCAATGGATTATATATAAATCAACAAACTAAGCCTTCGTCTAACAATATATATGCAAACTAATTAGAGTCATTAATTCCACCCTTCTTTTTAGATTCTACGATACGGTTAGGGTCTTTACATTTCACCCCTCTTTTAAGAACTGACGTTCGTGGCGGGCCCGTAATCTCTAAATATCTGTAATTTTCCAATGAGGAGACAAATTTCAATTCTTTATCAGGAGACTCTTCAGACAAATTATTTCCTCCAATCAAAAGAAGCTACAGGAGTAATAAATTCTGAAGATCTGGTATAGGGCCAGCTAACGAGTTCTCTTTCACGGATATGAAAGTTAGCTTAGAAGCATTGGCAATAGAGCTTGGAATTACTCCCCCGAACATAAATAAACTGTTTGATGATTTGGAAGTGAAAGTCTTATATTTGATGGAAGTTGGACTTAAGCTGCTGCGACATGGTCAATGTTGAGATATTGAAGATAGAAGGTGGATGGATACAAATTAGTCATTTTCAAGGAGACTAAATTTGCAAGAGATTTAGGTTGCCAAGCTCAGCTGGTATTTCAGCTAGGAATGTGCAAAGTTGGTGGCATTATCCATATAATTTTGGTTCTTTCTTAATGTCATGTATGAGGCTAATAATGTACAAGTTTTATAAGTACCTGTCAGGTGGTTGTTTAAATCGCAGTACACTCGGGAAGTTAGATTTCCAACTTGCTTAGAATGCCGCCTGTGAAGTGGTTATTTCCCAAATGTAAGATCCAAAGCGTTTCCGTTTGAATATGCTGGATAAGATTAGGCCAGCGAGCCAATTGGACTGAAGAAAAAGCCGCTCAAGACTTGGCCAGGAATGATATTTGAAGATTACACGTAGTATGTTTCCAGTAAGCTGGTTAAACTTCAGGCCTAATGATTCCAGACTCTTAAGATTCCCTCGTACCTATTGAAGACAAAGTATATATAAAAACGATGGCATGTTTGTGCTTAAAAGTTATATTTTTAAGAAAACAAGTCTTGTAAGTAAAAAAGTAATCTTTGAATATTATGTTTGGCAAAATAATCTAATTAAATACTTTTAAGCATAGTCAAGCATGCAATAAGTCACCTCTCGAGAGTTTTAAACTTCTAATAACCTCTCTAAATTTTAGTTAAGTGGTTTAGCAGTACCTATAGAACTATTATAATTCAAAACGAAAATGCTCGAGCCTAGGTAAGATTCCAAACCAAGATGCACACTTCAGTTGAAATTGCTCGACGCCAGATCAGCCAACTCATCAGGTATGGTGCCCTGAAAATGGTTTTGGGTGTTGAATTGTGATCCAAATTCCTTTGGGTAGTGGCATTTCGGGTAGAGGTCTTGAAGTCCAAATATGGACCAAGGAGAAAAAGTCAGCGCATTCACATTCTCTGAACACCTAGCTTCCGCTCGAGTGCTCAGAACAGGGAGCTTGCCGCTCGCCTATCGTGAGCTTGGGTGCTCGAGCACCAAGCTCTGCTTGATGTCCTTGGGCTTTGTCGCTCGAGCTTCAGTGTCATCAGGCCACGGCCTGTTTCGCATTTTTGAAGAATTTTATGATACTCTTTTCATCTAAAACACTATTTTTAGGGTTTGACATGTACTCAATATATAATTAACTCTCATGTAATAGTATAGAAGTTAGAAATACAACATCTTGTATACTTTCATCATTTATTGAATTCTCCTCCTCTGCCCATGATGTTTTTCCACGTAAATCTTGGTGTTCTTGACTGTTATTTTCATCTCGTCACATTAATCTCATTTATTTAATCTAACAAGTAGTATCGAAGCAAATTGGTATTGCCTTGTTTTATAACATAGAGTAAAGTCTATCGAACTAAGAAATATCAAATTTCCAAGATACGGTGCAATAGTGCCCTCGAGTTGAAAGAAAAACAGATTCAAGGCCGTCACTCTGTGGTTGTCAACTCCACGTGAAACACCAATCCAGTTGCAAACGGAAGCATCAGAACTCCAATTCCTGGCCAATATGTTTCGAGGTCAGAAGTGATTCTGGATTTGAAGGCAAGAAGTGATTCTTGATCATCTGTGCTCAAGTTTAGAACTATTTCTGCAGTGCAGTTTACTGTCAGAATCAACAGCAATGTGTAAGCAAGAATGCTCCACGAATTGTGTGGAAATTTGATAGTAAATGAGATATATCAATGCTAAAGATTGCATATAAATTAATTATCAAGTACTGCATTGTTGAAATATAATGAGCCATTAAACACTTTAGACTTCCGAAGACGACCCAAAAAGGGGAAGAGTACTGAGAAGTAGCCGCTTTTAAAATTGATATAAATTACTGTTGAAAGCCAGTTTGGTAGGACTTTTGAAAAGTTAAAAATTATTCTGAAACTAAGAAATGTTTTTGAACATATTTGAATAATTTTATAAAAGTATTTTGTATGAGAAGAGCTTTTAAAGGAAAAACTTACTATGCTACAAAAAAATAGAAGTCCTGTGCTAGACGTGGCGTAAGTTCTTCAGTTTACTCAAAGTTGGTACAAAAACTAGTCTCAACTTGCAGAGTCATGTATACAACCCTACAAAAAACACGAACTCTATCTCCAACACCAATTACCATTACTGTATCACACATTACATCTTATTAAGGTTGTATTGTCATGATCGATACATGAAATGAGGGGAAGTGTGGAAGAACCCATACCATGCAATAGTTAGGAATTCTTCACATTGTCGAGCTTGAATATCCTAATTCCAACTCCAAATAATATCCTGCGGCTACCTTACATGGTGTGCAATATTGCTATCGGAAAAATCATGTATAGTATTGGACATAGAATAGCGAGATTTACCTTATTTTTGTTTCGTTCTTTAATATCACAAAGTATTGTACAAATAAAGTCAACAAGACGTAAAAATTAACTAAGAGGATAGCTTGTAAAATATTGTATAGATTGACGTCACAATTCTGCAATAATAAAAATAACAATAAATTTATCGGTAAATATTTATTATATATTAATGTACTAGTTAATTTACAGTCAAAAAAAAAAAAAACAATTCTGGTAAAAATAACCAAAATCTTGTCAATTTGAAAACATGAAAATTATTCATTCATGTCAACTTAAATTCATAAAATAAAAGTAAAATAAAAAAAATCATTATATCTACATTTTTGTTAAAAATTATTAATTTTTATTGTTATTACCATCATAGATGTATTATACATTAGAAAAAAATAAAGGCCAGTTTCATTAAAGTCATACACGTTTGTTTCTCTCTCTTTGGCGAAGTAGTAAATCCACGTTTTCATTAAAATCGCTGTTTCAGTCAATTAACAAAAGAAACGCATTTTAATAGTTGCTCTTTTTCGCACCTGCAGAAAAATTCCTGAACTGCTCAATCGATATTTGATCCCAAAACGCGCACACATACACACTCTACAATCGGCAAACTCCAATGGAAGTTCCATCAGCTGCATCCAATACTTCATCGATACCCTCAAATTCCGGCAGCCGTCGAAGCCCATTTCGGCCCTTTCACTGCAGCTGCCTTAGAGGCTGCTGTCGTTGCTTCTGCTGCTTTTATTCCTACCCTTGAAATATATTTAGTTTAACCCACAAACCTGTATATATTAGGAAGATCTTTAGGTATGGTGGAGTTGATTGTCAGTTTTCAATTTTCATAAATGGATGAAAAGATGCCACTTTTTTTCCGTTTTTTGTTTAGTAGTAATTTTACTTGCATTTGTGAATTACTGGAAAAAAAAATATTTGCACTGGTGTATGTTTCTGAAAGTGGAGTTCTTTTTGGATCTTTATCTTTCTCTGATATTTTTGCTTATTTTAATGGCTTGACTTGGATGAAACTTAAGGGAATTGAGCCATAGACTACAAGTGTATGATGTCCATATGTATAGGAGGATGGATACTACTTTGTTTGAGCCATCGGTCTTGGGAATCAAATTGATAGTGGGGCTTCTGGTTGAATTTTAACTAGATATTATGTCGAAATTTTGAGAATTGGGACTTCGGGTAATTAGTAATTAAGAATGTTGATCCAATTTTGCCACTTTGAGCAAAGCAAATGGTAGAAGAACTCATTAACTATGTCCAGATACTCATCTGGAAGTTTCTTGCGTCATCAATTTTTTTGTGTCAAAAGCAAATATTGGGCTTATGCTTGCAAATTATTTGGACTGGGTTTTAAATGAACGACTATGGAGGCTTGTGATTATTGGTAATTGTTGGATTTTATACGCAATAATAAAGAGATGAAATAGAGAAATCAGCACAAAAATTTACGTGGTTCGGCACCACGTCCACGAGAGCGAATCGGAGATAATATTATCAAATATGAAAAATAGAGTTACAATATTATTATTTATACTAACCCTAGCTTAGGTCCATAAAAACTTTAAGACCCATACAAGAAAGTACCCCTATACCAGACCGTGGCGACGTTTCTCTCGCACCCTCAACCCATTCAGCGTCCCTAACAACTAGACAGTGAATTAAACTCGTGCAAAACCAATGTCGTCGCTCTGCTTCATTTTGTTAGGTGCGCTACGCTCCCCTCACTCTGCTCCGCTACGGCATCAACCTATTTGATCCAGAAACGAATTCTTGCGTGGTCCAAGGAAATCAAAGGTCCGCTTCCACGATTTCATCTATATGGAATCTCTTAATATCATAATAGCTTAGTGCTTTCTGCCCTTGCCTAAGGGATGAGGAAGAAAGGAATTCACTGGGTCGTGAGGGAGTTTCAATCGGTCTTTTCTAGGATTCCTTATCACGCCACACATGGAGATTTTTCCATTGATAGTCTGTGTTCCATTCTATATGAACGACATACACAACAGTAATTAAACTAATTAGTGTAAGAAATTTCATCTTTGAGGATTTAGGGCTTTATATTATTAAATGGGCTATAGGAATCATACCATGTTGGGACATAATAGTTGGTTTAGGGTAATGAGTTGAGGGATGTCGTAGACGTTTGCAATATGAAATGATGTCTCAGTGGTGTTGGTACAGATTATAGTTTGTACTAATAATCGTCATTCGCTATAAAGCTTCATTATTTTGGTAATTTTTTACAGTTATTGCCATTAAAATATGTACATCTCTTTTCTTATTAGTGTGGAGTGATGTCATAAACGACAAGCGTATGATGTCCATATGTGCTGGAGGATGTATACAGGTTTATTTGAGCCATTGGTCTTGGGAATCAAATTGACAGTTTTGGGGTAATAGTAATTAAGCATGTTGATCAAATGAATGCCGCTTTGAGTAAAGCAAGTGCTAGAAGAACAAAACAAGGATCTCACCATGGTCATCTGAAAGTTTCTTACCTCATCAATTTGTTAATGTCAAAAGCAAGTAATGGGTTATGAATTTAAAGTCTATACATTTATCTATTTGCTTGAAAAAGATTCAATTTTTGGGTTTAAATATACAATTAGGAGCTACTTGTTATTTGTAGTTTATCTCCTTCGTGTAAGAAATTTCCTCTTTGAGGATTCAGTGCTTACTTTGTACTACCATCTGATGTATACGAATCATCCCATATTGGGACATGATAGTTGTTCTAGACAAACGAGTCTCAGGATGTCATCGAAGTTTGCAAGATAAATGATGTCTCAGTGGTATGTGCGCAAATATAGTTTGTACCAGTGGTCATCTTTTGCCATAAAGGTACATTCTTTTGTTCATTTTTTACGGTTATTGCCCTTAAAACATGTACATCTCTTTTCTTGTTAATTCCTTTTGCAAAAACTTTGTGGTAGTTTTTCTTCACTTGTTGCTTAACTTTCTACCTAAGGTGGTAAGAGTGGAAATTTATCATGTTTTTATCTGCAGTGGTTTTTTATACTTAACCCATAGATGACTATAAACCCGTGCATCTTTAAGGCTTCTGAACTATAGGTGTTTAAGTTGCTAATATACTGTCAATGACTATGTTTTATTATAATATTGTTAACTATTTCTAGTCAACTGCTACTCTAGGTTCATCCATGATTCTGTATTTCTAAAAGCATCACTTCAACAGTTTTCATTCAATTCTATTACTTGCCATTTTTTATCTTAAGCCACTCAAACAATGTATAAATTTTTTAGGAGTATTTTAAATGCTTATCTGGTTTGTAAGACTCAAACTGGTTCTGTTTGTGGTAGAGTGTTGCTTAAACATTTTTGTCATGTTCTCTGATCCTCATTTTTCTTCATTTAAGATCTTTGAAGTATAATACCTTGCTTTATATATTCCTCACCGTTTCAAAATTTGCATAAATGTTTCATAAAATAAGCCCATAATTTGAGTAGAAATTGATATTATATTGCGCATATAATGTCGATACAGAAACATTGATCTTTCTGATCTTTTGGAAGTTTATACATAATTTCTGGAGAAGAGTAAATATAGTGCTTTGTTTGTTATGCCTTGCGTATCTCTGCTTGTATATATGCATTTCTTGATCAAAACCTTCACATTTCGACATTTTCCTGGTCATGTATTTAAGATATCTTCTGCTAGATATCATCCCCTAAGTGCTTGTGTTTTCCAAAATATTGCCCTAAATATTTGTGAATATTTAATTTATAATTATTGCCAATTTTTTTTTTTTTTTTAGTAGAAGATTCGTGTTGGATGCATAATAGAAACTTTCCAAAATGTATCTAATAGTTACTTACTGGAATTCTCTCATTTTAAGATTGATTCCTTTTGGCTTTTGCAAAAATCTAAAAGAAAATGCTATAGAAACATTCCCAAATATATAAAAATTGCAGAGACTTTAGAGAAGCATAACCTACTATATGGGAAGAGAAGTGAGTGATTCTGGAGTTTAGGGAGTGGATGAGAAGCTACAGTTGTCTTGGAATCAAAGATGCTACGTGATATCACAACAAAGGTGAAAGAGAAGTAGCTATCTGTACGAGAACTTCTATCATTGTCTTGAACAAGAGATGCAGTAAAAGTTTACATGATATTGTAACAAAGGAGAAAGAGATGGGGATCTAAACCAACTTAGGAGTGCATTAGGGATGAAAACCATAGAGTGTTGAATATTGGAAATGTAATGCTTTATAGGTTTTATAATTTCCAAATCTCGGTAGGAGTTAAAATGCTTGCTGGGTAATTGTTTTTTACGAAGCTATTATCTGTGAACTAAAAATCTTTACAAGCTACAATTGGTTTTTGTTCCTAGTTTGTTGTCCTCGTCTCACTTTCAGACTTGCAGATGCACAAAATGCATGTTCACACACTTGGGTGATTGAGGGTTGAATTTGAGGATCGGGGATCTTATGGATACTGTATATCATCAATTGAATTAGAGAGTAAAGGATATATATTTGTGCAATTTATGGCCTGTATTTTTTACTAAGACATTATTTGTATTTGTCATAAATTCCTAGGATCTCTTTAGACTAATAATAGGTTTCTTCCCTTTTCTATTTTTTTCTGTTTATTCTTGTTATGAATGATGCCACAAGACATGATATGTGGGTTTCTTCTCTTCAGGCTTTGCTTTCTTCAGAATCTGTTTATTTTTTCTTTGGCTTTCTTGTAACGGTACTGCATATAATCACTATTGGTGAGGCAGTGGGTAGAAGTCCTATCTAAGCATTCTCATCTTGATATTCTTGATGTAATAGATGCAAAATGTGATTCTTAATCACAGTATTTTTCAGTTAGCCCTTGTTTGAGGCACATTATTTCCATAAGAATACATTTTTGAATAGTGTATTGATGAGACAAGTGTGGTTAAAAAATAAGGAAAATTTTTGAATTTGCATATAATATTATTTTATTGAAGAATGTGTGGTTGAAATGATGTTAAATCCCTATTTAAGAATGCATTTTTTTTTTTTTTTGGGGAAGAATGTGGGTCAGACAGGGCCTTAATATGTTGCAAAATGAAGAGGTCAACTGGCTGCAGATTCTGTCGAAGATTTGCATTCTTCATCATGAACCGGGCCTGGCACTTTGGTACATGGGCAAGGGATGTATTAACAAGCGTGACAGATAGCCTGAAGTTGCTATTGGAATAAACAACGAATTCAGGATAATACTGAAGAGCCAATCACTTCGCAACAGGAGATTGAATTCGAACATGCCAATTAAGATCTTGGCACGTATGTGCCAAAGCACGATCTTTGCTCTGGTGAAGTCTTTAAAGTTGATATTGTAACGTGTTCTATATTCTTTCATGTTCATCATGTTTTGTCATTCCATTTAGTTGGTATAGAGTCAGAATTCGCTCATGCAGCCTAACACACTAATTTTGGTTTTGTGATCGCGAGATTATCCGAGTTCTTGCTGCCTTTGAACTAAACATGATCCATATCCTTAAAGTTGTTAATCAGTTTCTATAAAGATTTTCTTGTTATAATCAATTGATTAATTTAAGATTTTTGAATTTGATACCGGACAGTTGACGTGCTTGTAGTGAATTATGTCTGCAGTTAGATGTTAAACTCCCATGGTCCTCGGGGGCATGCTGGATTGGATTTTATTATTACTTATTGCCGATAAGAGATTATAAATAATGATTGGTTAACTTATTCTGGTTGAAATTTTATATTATTCAGATGATCGGATAAATCGTTGAATAGAAATAGTCTTCTACTGGGTTAGTTGGAAAAAATATATGTTGCCAAAACAACCAGCAACATGAAATTTTGTAGTCATTTGACAGTCTTGATTGTAATTATTTTGTGTCTATGACTATGCATTTTACTAATAATTTTTATTTAGTTATCTTGATTATGGAATTCCTTTCAAGGCAGGCAACGCATGGAATTATGCAAGGGACAAAAAGCATGAAATCTAATTACAAGATGAAGATAAGGACTCAAATCCTTTTTTTATATCATAATATTATATTGCCTGTCAAGGTTCATCCACCCCAAAAGGGGAAAGAAAAGGAAACGAGAGAATGGAATCATCTTGGATTTGGTGGGTGGGGTGGGGGGTTGAGTTAACAAAACTTTCATCATCAAATCCATTGCTTTCAAATGGAACTTAAACATACAAAAGCTTCCCAGAGTGCAAAAACACATCTGCTTTTGACATTAAAGCCAAACCAGGAGTCTTCCAGCCGCTCTACTGTCTTAAAGCCTCCGCTTTCATCATTCCTCTACTACCAGAATCAACAGTCATTTTATTGCTGCCAAAGTAGAGGGGTTAGGCCCTGCACATTACAGTTCCTGCCGTGTGATGGCCTACGTTAACTGATTTCAGACTGTTCTAGTTCTACAGATCCCACTTCAAAATTAGGTCAACACGGCTTGTTTTACACATTTATATTACAGTGTAAAGGGTGAACGTGAGCGTGTTGAGCTTAGATTAAGACCGAGTTGTGTTGGCTCTAAGACTCCATGTACACCTCTTCTACTATATCATCAGTAGTAGTTAAGTAAGACGGTCCTATATGTACATACAATGTAATTATATATTCAAATCATGATACCTCTAACTCCAAAGAAATAAAAGAGAGAAATAGAGTAGATGAGTTAACCCACAACTATCGGGTCTAATTCAAAATCAACTCAACGAGACAATAAAGAGGGAGTACAAAACCAAACTAGTATTGGCTTGGTGGCTAATACTCAATGTATACAACAAGAATGATCCAAAAGATAAATGAATAAAGGATTATGCTATTGGTTCAAAAAAGGATATCCAAAAAGTGTTCGAAAATTATATATAGTGAAATAATTTGATGAAAAAGTTGATTATGCATTAAACTGTTCAATGATAGAGTTTTATGTAGTATTATATAGTCCATTATGTAAAATTTAATATATATGTAATAAGTCCATTAATAAAATACAACATTCGACTCTGTTGTCTCCACCTGTTTTGACTAACAAGAAGTTTCCACTCCTTTTTTACTGTCTTCTTTTCATAGGAGACAAGATTGAGGGTAACTTTTACAGCTTGTTGTAGTTTTGTCAAGTTTCCTTTCTTTTTTTTTACTGTTCTTTGCTTTATCTTTTTTGCTGGCCATTGATTTCTTTGAGCAATGATTATCTGAAAAACACCATGTTTTGCTACACAAATCCTTTCACTTCAAAAATTTTCCACTTTGGGTGTTCTTAAAAGAAACAACATCTGCATTGTGCAGGAAAAAAAAAAAAAAAAAAAAAAGAGGAATCCACAAGAGGGACAGAAAAAAAAAAAAAATAAATAAAAAAAAATACAACCATTCAACTACTGATTTTCAATAGTTATATTCCATTTTTCTTATCTGTCACATTCTTGAATTCTTTTTACCTATGGCTGCAGAAATCTGAGAGTTTCTTCCTCCCTTCAACAATTTCATCAAAAAAATCATCAAGCTGTCCGATGATATTCTCAGTTCCAGCCCTTAAAATCCCACAACAACCCTTCAAATTTTCAACTCGTTCTCTAATCCCAACTTCAGATTCCCATTCTACTATTCCTTGTGAACAGCATCTCTCAAGTTCTCCCCTGAGTTCATCCATGGCAACTTTTGATCTTCTAAACTCATACAGAAGAATTCCGGGCCGGCCCGAAATCTGATTGATTTCAGATGCTACCCTCTGTTGCAATCTTGCAGTGGAGATCATAAAGGCTGATCCAAAGAACAAGCACCCTTCATATCCCCCATTGGAAAAATTTGATTCGGGCCAGCAATAAACCAATCCATAGAGCAATATCATGAGCAAAAGTGAACTAACATTTCTCATAGCATAAAGAACTCCTCTGAATCCATTGAATCCATTGAGTTTGGATTCTACAGAAACTTTCTCATCAAACCTTAATGAAAGTGGCTCAATTCTTGTCTCCATCAAGGACCTGTTTTCCTCCTCTAATCCCACAGCCTCTCTTCGACAGCCCGAAATAGTCCGAATAACCTGTATTTTCAAGAAATCCACCAAAAAAATCAACATATAAAAACACAAGAACTAGAAAATCCAATGCAAAATTTTCTGGGTTTCAGTTTTTTTGACCTGACGAGAAAGCTGTGGGCTTAAATGGCCATGACTGTCAAGAGAAGAAATTATACTGATCCCAGTGGAATAGTAATTCTCCATGCCTGAAATCCCAGTTTTAAGAACATGACAAACTTCCCAAAGTTTTGAACTTTCATCCATGTATTCATCAAGCCATTTTTCACCCACTGGCAATCTGAGTTTTTGAACAAGAAGGGTCAACTGAGTATGGAAGGATCGTAAGAGGGATAAAACACTTTGAAGAAACTGAATTGACATGAAGTTATTGGATAAGAAGACACGTTCAAGATCATCAATTCCTCTAGTCAAGAAATTGTAGAAGCCATTGACAGAGTTGGTAGAGAAAGGATCCATCATAAGGAGGAGGGAAAACAAGAAGCAAAGTGGAAGTTGAAGAAGAAGGGGGAGGAAAAAAGTTGTGAAGAGGGTTGTATTTAAATTGTGGGGAAGAACTAAAAGGGGATGAATCATGGAAATAGGAAGGGAATATCAATCTTGGAAGCTCAAGTTTCTAAGGTTGAAAAGGATCGTTGGCAGCAATGATGAGTGTTTCCTACGGAGGAGAAAGGATGATTGGTAATCTGCTTTCATTGTTTAATGGGCAGAAAGGAAATGAAAGGAGGAGGGAAAAGGAAAAGGAAAATAAAAAACTAACCCCAACCCCCCACCCCGCCCCCAAAACCCCAACACAGCACAGACACAGTGCTAAAAGAGAGAGTTTGTGATAGTGAAAGCAGGCAAATTTACATGAAATTCTCATGAACTCTGCCAATTTTTTGCTTTTTTTCTGCTCTTAAAGCATTAGTATAATACCAAGAGAAAGAGAAGTGGGGTGGGGTGGGGTGGGATGGAGTATTTTTGAAATCTTGATTTGCGAAGTCTGTGTGAGGTTAGATTGAGATCATTGAGTTGTAATATTGTTTGACCAAATTGACTAGATGGGGAAACCAAAAAAATAGTACTTTACTAGATTAGATAGTATTGAGAAGAAAAATGAGTTAAAATTTTGTTCATTAAATTGAGTACAGTATTAAATACTAAACACATCGAATAACGAAAGATGGTAAGAACTGAGGATTTGTCCTTTAGATTGTAGTGCTATTTGGCTTCTTGTTTCCACATTTTCTTCCTCGAGCAACTGAATTTTACTCCTTTACTTCCCCTCTATTCTATTGAAATTTGTGGGGGGTTTGTTTTCTCCTAGATGGATACATATATAAGTACAATCTTCTTAATTCCCTATTGTTTTGTTTTTTTATGGAATTCGAAATGATGGGTTCTTTGTATTAGTGTTTTGTACCTTTCTACTATGCAAAGCTAGTCTTTTTAGGCCACCAAAAACCTTTTCTAAGTACTTTTTATTTTTTCTTATGTTTTTATTTTTATCATCCACTTGTTAATTTTGGTAGTAAAATGTAAGATGCTCCCCATTGACCTTACAATGTACATTTCCAGATGATATTTGAAGTATAGTAACACTATCGAGTATGGACCCATCAATCATCTTATGGGCTCTTATTCCTCATATTGCTTAATGCTTTTTAAAGTTTCTATCCTACTTGTATTCGATTTGTCATTTCCTAATTAATTGTGTTTTAGCTTTTTCATTCTCAAACAAAATTATGATAAGTTACTTTCACCTATAGGAAAGATGAAAACAATAATAAACTATATATAAAATTAATTACGTTCAACAAACACTTTAGAAAATGATATTAAAGAAAATTGCACGGAAAATCTTTCCTATTTTTAATAGTTACAACTAATGCATTGTATGTTAACACACTAATAGTTTAGGTAGTGATCATGAAGGGATAACTAGAGCGACCACATTCGATGGAAATATTGGAAGTCTAGTTAAAGAAGACTTGTCATATCACAATTATTGTTGATAAAAAAAAAAAAATTATTTATTTATTATTTTTTTTTTTTAAAGAAACCAAGAAAACTATTTCATTTTGAAGTCACATATAACTACAAAACAAAGTTTCTATACTAATTACATAATGTTCTAATCAATTAGTTAGAAAAATAATTTTTTATAATAAAGAAAATAGCAAGGAAAACCTTTCCTATTTTTAACAACTATGACTTACGTATTTTACATTAACACAATAGATAAGTTTAGGTAGTGATCGTGAAGGGATGATGAGAATGACCACATTTAGAGCAGAGGCAAGCATGCAGTAGCTTAAGGAAATTTTCATTAATAATAAATACTAATTGAAATTCTGTCGGGATTAAAGAAAAAAGAAAAAAAATTAATTATCAACTTTAATATTGTAAGGAAAAAATAAATATAAAGAATAAAATATTATGAGTGACACAAACAGAAAGAAAAAATCAAAAAATGTAAAGAGAATAAAAATTTGTGAGTGATATTGACGACTTCGCGTTAGCGACTAAGGTATCTCGATGATTTTCAGTAAAATGACCACAACATTGTTCATGGAGATATCGACAGAAGTCTGATTGAAGAAGAACTACATATCATTAACATAAAAATTGATGATTAAGACTCATTCATATACTGAAGTTTTCACGCTAGCGCCTAAAGTACCAACGGTGAATTTCAATAACATCACTACAACATTGTCCATGGAGATATTGTCAAAAGTCTGATTGAAGAACTACATATCATTAATATATAAAAACAAAAAACAAAAACAAAGAATTATTGTCAATAAGACTCATTCATATAGTATCACTTCAAGATGATAAATAAGTCATTCACAATGGGGGAAAATCTATTTGATTGATGCTCTTGTCAAGCATTATATAATTTCCTCTTTTATATTGCAAAATGTTTAGGTTGTCTAAATGCATAATTTATGGGGTGTTTGGGAGCCATTTTTATGTCAAAATGTATTTTTGAATAGTGAATTGATGGAAAATATGTGGTTGAAAAATAAGGAAAAGTTTTTAATTTACATATAATATTATTTTAATAAAGAATGTGATTGAAAAGAAGAGAGAGAAAAATGCATTTTGAAAAAAATGGGTACCAAACGGGGTTTTATATTTACTAGGTTGGAAAATACTAATTAATTATGATCCTCAAAAAACGTGTCAACAGATATCAATCGAAATTATGCACACATGGACGTATTTCTCAATATATTGATTGTAAGCTTAAACACATGTTCAATTACTAATCAAATATGTCGAAGTAAATAAGAAAGATATGCACTTGTAAAGGAGATAATATGTAACGATGAATGAGTTTATGTAGAGAGAAAAATACAATGTTCTTTTACATGTATGGAGATTCATTCCCTTCAAATGTTACAAAGACCACTATTTATAGTAACCAGGCCGACGTGGTCAGCATTGGAAAAGATCAACATGGCCTCATTTGCTAGACCCTTAAGTCGCGTAATCCTATCTCACATTAATTACATTGACAGGAATCAGCTACCCTACACCTCTAAGCTGATATTTCTGACATCTGTTTAATAAAGATGTCACATTAATCAATCCTAAAAATACGTCTATCAAATCCACTTCTAGGAGTTATGGACTTCAAATGCAAAGGGGTTTGGCAGAAAGAATGAAAACACTTCGGCTACGCAAGGAAAAATCACTTCAGCTATATAAGGAGAGCACTTTGGCGATTAGGCCTCGATTATTTGATAAGAGCACTACGATATCCCTTTCTTTAGTTTTAGTTGAATGCCACGTGTGTGAACACGGGACTTCCACATGGTTCCATTGGGAGCATTATATATGATCAATAACAATAGTCCATCAAGTCTATGTATGGTCATTCATGTGATATATAGAATTTATGTTGCGTAAGAAAAAAAATTTGGTAGGGGAGAAATTATTCGCATAACAAATTATATTTTTGTGGGTATATTTGTTTATATATTTGGTTTGTATAAGATGGTGCTCGTGGGTTTTAGAAGAATGGGACACTTTGAGAGGATGTTGGTCTTCTGAGATTTCATTGGAAAGTGTACTAGGAAGATGGTCCAATATTTAAGATTCATTGATCTGAGCACCCTTCATTTTTGTTGGGCAGACCATTGACCACTTCCATATAATCGTAGGACGAAATTGTCCTCAACTATTTTTCCTCCTTTATTTGAAAGTCGTGACAACAAATTACACGTTACCTAAGCTTTTTCTTTGATAAAATAATATGAATTATTCTTTTACTATCTGCAATTTTTTTCTACAATGCAAATAATAGCCAATAAATAATAAGTACTTTTTACGTTCATTACATTTCTAAAAAAATTGGTTTTGTTTCTATGTGGAGTCTTTTTTGGAATGGTCGAAGTATCTTGATCGGCGACAACCAAATTTTTAGCACTAAGTCTTATTGATATGTGGTTAGTAGTATAAAATTTAAATTTAAATTAAAGTTTGAAAATATAATTATGTTGTAAGAATTCTTGATTCTAGTCTCTATTTCTAAAGACTTGTAGAGGAAATTACCATGTAAAAAATATTATTTATCTCAAATATATATCTTCAAATGTCAAATTGATATATAAAAATTATTTATGCCCATTTAAATATTTTATTTCATTTCATTTACTTTTAGGAAAAAAAAAAGTAAGTTAGGTTTTGTGCGGGCGTTGGCAAATTAGGGCCCTCCACCTAAGAAAAGTATAATTTTTACAACCCTAATAGCTATAATTTACATTCCACGTTGATTTTTTATTAGACAAGTTTAATGATTATAAATGCAAATTATGAGATTTTTAATCTTAACTATGTTGTTGGATTAACGTGAAAAAAAAAATCGATTTCATTAAAGTTATTAAATCAAAGATTTGATCTCGATTTGATTGAGTTAACAAACATCATCATAATTATTAATTATGAAATTACACAACTCTTGTTAATTTGTTGGTTTTCATAATCATAAAACAACAAAAAAAAATTATAGTGTTTTTTTAAGGGGGGGAAAACAGTTGATTTTGTTTGTACAAGAATTTCTTTAGTGACATGTTTACATAAACTTAAAAAATTAAAAATTAAAAAAAAATAATAGTGCCCCCGGGGGCATAGCCCAGTGGTGCAAAGGACATGAATTAGGTTATCTCACGCCTTGCTGTCAGTCGCAGTGTGGGGATTCGATTCCTGATACATGAAATTGGACTCCTTATAAGCGCAGTGTATATGCAACTCTTGCTCTCTGGCCTGTTGGGACACATCCCGCGATTTACCTCCCTCACAAAATTTTAAGGACGGGACGATGGGGATCTTTAAAGTTGGGGTTCAACATTTTTTAAAAACAAAATAATACACTAATGCGAATTGAATAGAATAAATAAAAGTAGATCAAACTTAAAGTCTTTGTGATCGTGGACTGTGTCATTTCATTAGTTTTTAATTAGATGAAGCCTTGGGTTAGATGGAATTAGAATAGAAAGGAAAATAATGTCCATAGTGGATCTCAAATTATTTAAGATTAAGGTTTAATTTGTTCATTCATTTTCAAATAATTCGGCATAAGTTTCTTTTTTTCTTGATGGGTTCTTGTTTTACTTATATTGGAACTTTTATTATTTTAATTAATAAATAAAAAATGTTAGGTTTTACTTTCCATAGTGTATGCATCTTGAGTCGAAATTTAAACTAATTGCATTCGACTCGGTTTGATATTAAAAATACACCTTAAAAATTATTCTTACAGTGCGA